CACGTCTTCCTCTGCAAATTGCCTCCTTCTGCCGATGGAACTATAGAGCTGCAAAGCTCCCCCTTAACGGTGGATTTTTTCTGCCTTGTGACAGACTATGCTCTGGGGAAGGACTGCATCATGCACGGGTACATGCTGAAGCTGGGGAACCCCTTCCTGACTCAGTGGCAGAGACGCTATTTTTACCTCTTTCCAAACCGGCTTGAATGGCGTGGAGAAGGAGAGTCACGGGTGAGTTGGGCAGCTGGGCTGGCAGGGGGATGTCAGTGGTGTCACATGATGTCAGTGGTGGTGGTGGGTGCTCTGCCTCCTCTCCGGTATGCTAAGGCTTGAGGGGCCAACGCAGGAGGGGATATGCCAAGCTCCAGGTAATCTTCTTGTTTTCCTGTTTAGGACACCTGGCGCACTTACACAAAAAGACGCAAGCGGGTAAGGCAATGAAACCTGCCTAGCAGCAGTTCCCAAAGCACCGCCCCTACAGGCTGTGAGGAAGTGAATCCAGCTCCTGTGAACCCCAAATGGCCACCCACAGAGCTGGGAGGCTGGCTGGCTCTTTTGCCCTTCTCCTCTCTTCCCAGTCTGGCTCTGCTGGGCTGGGCTGGCCAAGGCTGGTGGGACTAGCTGCCTGAAACACCTGGAGAGCACCATTTTGGCTGAACACAGCACTTCTGCTCTTGAGGCTGAAGAATTACCACCCTCTAAGGGAGCTGTCCCAAAACATCTCTAAATCCGTCGCTTCTCTGGGTTACTTTTTTCACCAGGCAGGAAGTGTGCCCAGATCTGTTGTGGGCTCCGCTTGTGGCCCTTTTTCGGTTGCAAAAGTGAAGCTCTGCTCCTTGTACTTTCGATTCAGGTGAAGTGTGTCACAGGTCCTTTGCCTTTGGGAACTGCTGCTTTGTAAGGATGACCCCGAGTCTTGCCCTGTAGCAGCTGTAGAAGAGAGCATCTTTGTTGCTGCTTTAGGGGAAATCACCAGGGAACATCCCCGCTTCCCTTCCCCCAGAGCTCCCCTTTTAACTCCTGCTTTTCGCAGAATTATGACTGATTTCTTTCCGCATCCTTGGGCCCCATCGAAAATGGTAAACTATCCATGAAAGGGCTTTGGGGACACACACCCATGCTAGTCACAGAAAAAGGCAAAAGCTTGCTCCAGAGGGCAGGATTAGATCTCAGGGGCTGAACATGAGGAAAAGCTGAGCCATTGGAAGACGTTGCCTAGAGGGGTGCTGGGCTGTTCCACCAGCCAGAGGTCTTCTTGCAAAGTCTGTGCAATCATCTGTTGGAGGGGCTCGCTTGCTGAATTTCCTGTATTGAGTAGTGCAGTAGGGTGGACTAGAAGCCTTCGTCTGATCCGACTCTGTTCACTTAAAGTAAATCATTGGGGGGGGGAGGCCATATTCACTTCCTGTCTGAATACTCATGAACCACCTGGGGTAAAAAGGTCTGTGTCTAATCCCTGACCACTGGTCCTGTTAGCTAGGGATGATGGGAGTTGTAATCCCAAAACATCTGGAGGGCCAAGTTTGGCCATGCCTGGTCTACCTCCATAAGGTAGGCATAATTGCCACCCCTTTCCCTCTCCATAAATATTGTAGAGCCTTCAGTATTCAGCATCTGAGAAATTTTCCAAGCAATGACTTGGGGTTGGGTAGGGAAGGCAGGAAGAAGTAGCCATTGCTTCTAGGCTTAGATGCCAAAACCTGAAACATCAGCTTGGTTTCCTTCACCCACCCACCCTGGTCTGCCCTGTGGAAAAGATTGCCCTGTGGAAGGGAAAAGGCCCACCCTGTTGATTCTCCAGCAGAATCAAATCTCAGCCGACTTGCTGCATGTCTCCTCTCCCACCCCAGGAGAAGACAGGATGGGTGACAGGAAAGCACGCTGGTGACCAGCCCCCCTGCAAAATGCCCTTATCTACTTCTTAGATCTTTCCCATCCAAGTTTGAGGGGGGCAAAAGGAGAGATGAGGACTTGGGTTTGGCATGCATCGAACAGCTTTCAGGAAAAGTGTAAGAAAGGAAGGGATCCCCCCCCCCCACACGAGCATTTTTTAATTTAAGACTTTTGGGGCTCCTTTGCTTAACCTTTTTCTTTGGTTTGACAAAGCCACAACCCTTGTGATGCTGTGCACAGGTTGTGACATTTATGAAGTTGCCTTGTGAGGAAGTGCCAGTTCTGTAGAGAGAAGCTAGCTGTATTGCTGCTAAGATTCCTTCCTTTTCCAAAGTCCCACCTCCCAACCCCCTGTAAGCAATTTATGAAAACCCAAGGAAGCTGGATTAGGGTTTTGGCCAGTTTCATTCTCAGGGCTGTGGTAGCAGCTGGGCCTTCAATTCAACCTGTCTTTCCTTTTTGCTTCCTTAGCAAAATTTGCTGACTATGGAACAGATTTTGTCGGTGGAAGAACTCAGATCAAGGACAAAAAATGCATCTTGCTCAGAATTAAAGGGGGAAGCAGTTTGTCCTGCAGTGTGAGGTAGGCTGTGTGTCTTTGAGGGATGAGGGGAGGGAGGTCCTGAAGCTTAAAGGTCTTTTAGAGGTGGGGGAAGGTTTGGGTTCAAAACCCAAAACTGTTAATGTAGGAAATGCTTCCCTCCACACACATGAAAATAGCCTCAACCTGGAAATTGGAGCATGTTTTGATTATCTAAGTAAGCCCTTTCAAGTGCTGAGAGCATACCCTCATTGTCGCAGTAATCCTTAACCAACCACCACCAGTATTATTGGGGAGGTGCTGAAAGCCAGAGCACCCATTTGCTGTGGCAGAAGGTCCCAGATTCAGTCTCCAGCCAATTAGAGCTGGGAAGATGACCTCATCCAAAAACTGAGGGAGCTGCTGCCAGATAATACTGAGCTTGGTGGATAATACTGACCTTGGTGGACCAGTGATCTGCTTTCTGTGCTCCTAAATGTTCCCATTTTTGCAGATATGGGAACTGAGACTGCATAGAACAGCGTGGTTGCCAAAGCAGTCTGCTGAGTTATTGGAGTGACAAGGTTTGGGCCTGTGAATTTTTCTAGCTCACATCCGTCGGGATTGTCACGACCTCAGAAGCCATCAGTGATTGAGGCATGGTGTTGGAGGCTGCAGCATCAGCTGCTTTAGGAGCCAGTCCTATCTGATTTATGGGGCTCCTGCCAGTGCTAAGGGACTGGCAGGAGCCCCATGAATCAGATTCTTCCGCACCAGGGCTTGTAGAAACTTGGACACTGGACCCACATGAGCACCTTGCCCTGAGCCTGAGGAATGGGAGCACCTCAGCCACTGCCTTGCCTTGCTCAGCAGTGCAGGGATGCACAAGGCAAGAACTTATGAAACACAGGGAATGTGCCCATCCTGAGGCCAGAGGGCTAGCCCTTTAAGAAAGGTGTGGCACCAAATTTCTTTTTTCTTTTTTTTTCTTTTCTTTTTTTGATGTGGTTTTAAAATTGTTTTTGTTTTGTCTTGTTAGTTTAATTGTTTTTAGTGTTATGTAGTGTCTTGTTATTGTATTGTTTTTTCTTGGGTTGTTTTTTTTAAGTGCTTAAATTGTTGTAAAAAGTAATAAATATAATAATAATAAAAAAGAAAGGTGTGGCACCTATGAGAGGTAGGCTGGGAGGCAGAGGCTTGAAAAGCCTCCAAGCTCTCGCTGGAGCAGTGTCACTCATCCAGAGCGACCTGCCTTCTGCCTGGGGCTCTTCTGCCACCGCAGGGCAGGGTTTCACTGCTCTGCTGTCCACTAGTTCTTTTTAGGAGCATGCAGTGGGCATGGGAGAAAGCTGGTGGGGCCTTTAAAATAGCAGAACAACAGGCCGGGTGTGTGCCGCACCAGCAGTGACTTTGGGCATGTTTCTTCTTAAATATATTTTGAGCCATTTTAGCACATAAGATACCATTGGTTGGCCTAATGCAATGTTGCATCCCTCTTGGGTACTGAGAGCACACCTCTTTCTGACCCCAGATGTCCGTAGGAACAGATTTGTTCTATTAAGTTCTGTGTTTTCTGAGGACTGTAAAACTTTTTTGAGAGAGTGATTCCCTCATTTAAGTTTGCTTTAGCCGCCCTCCTAGGAATTCCTGAGACATTTGCTGTCTGGCTTACGAAAGCAGCTTTGTGTCTGCCCCAACTCCTTTGGAGAGGATCAACCCAGTCTTTGCACAATGCCCCACCACCCTGTGCAATAAAATAGTTGCATGCTTCCACCTTGCCCCTGCCCCTTTAGAAGAAGAAGAAGAGTTTGGATTGATATCCCGCCTTTCACTCCTTTAAGGAGTCTCAAAGCGGCTAACATTCTCCTTTCCCTTCCTCCCCCACAACAAACACTCTGTGAGGTAGTGGGGCTGAGAGACTTCAAAGAAAGTGTGACTGGCCCAAGGTCACCCAGCAGCTGCATGTGGAGGAGCGGAGACTCGAACCCGGTTTCCCAGATTATGAGACTACCGCTCTTAACCACTACACCACACTGGCTCTTTGAGCATTTGCAAATAGCAACTTTGAACTTGCTGGAGTCAGACTCTTTAGCTCAATAATGCCTGACACTGGTGGCAGTGACACTCTGGGATCTGAGGCACAGAGTTACTTTTTCCCCACTCTTCATTTTACTAGGCATTCCAAGAGTCAGATTAGGGACCTTCTGCAGGTGCTCCACTGAGCTGTGGGCTCCCAACTTCCGGTAGTGTTTGTCCTCTATCTCTATCAAGAGTCTTTCCTCAATGAGTTCAAAACTGTATGAGACAAGTTGTAGTTATCTTGCTGGTACAATGGATTCTGAAGAAAAAACTGATTTTTGTGTGTGTGCATTTTGTTTTTCCCCAGAGTGACCCAGAGTTTGTACAATGGAAGAAGGAACTGACCGAAACGTTCACAGAAGCACAGCTGCTCTTACGTCGGGCACCCAAGTTCCTGAAATAAATCCCGCTCTGCAGTTGTGGAGCTCTCCAAGCCCCCCCTCAGCCACAAGAACAGCAACGGCCTTTAGGACCCAGGCAAGGAAAGGCTGTGCCATTGCAGGGGATGTCTGTCTGTTGCTGCATCGCTGTTTTAGTTCCTTGCCCACTCCCGGAGTTGGGTGAAGGGCTCAGGGGCAAGTGCTGAGCTCAAAAATAGTGGCACAGGGACCAAGGCCTCAGAGATAGGCCGATGCAGCAACCAGGGGATGGGGGAGGGGAGTTGTTGCCAGCAACGGAGCAGGACAAAAGAAGTGTTTTGCACTCCCAGGCAGCTTGCACTCCCAACAGGGCAGCCCCCGAAAATGTTGCTTATTTGCAATAAACCTCTTCAGGTGCATACTGTAGACTTGCAATCTGAATGGGCAACTATCCTGATTTTCATGACTGCATTTTTTATGCCACGGGGCTGTGTGTTGACCTGTGGAAGAGTTGCCACCTTCCAGGGTGGACTGACTCCTCCAATGACATCACCAGTGACTTCCATATCCACATTCTGTTCTGCTGGCCACCAACAACATGTCTCCTTTTCCCATTCCTTGGAATGGACTGAACTAGTGTCCTGTGGTTTTAAATGTTTCCTGCTGCTGCTGCTGCTGCTGCTTGTTCTAGGGGAACAAACACTTCGTGCTGGACTGTACTTGACAGCAGATGATGATGAGCTATGGGCAGAAACCGTTTGTTTGTGTGTGCGCGTGTGTGCTAGTGTTGTTCAGTTGTGTAAGTGTTTCTCTCTGTGTGCTTTTCCTGGGTTTTTTCTTTTACATATTTTTTACTGCTGGTTCTGTTAGACAGGTTTACGGGGAATGCAAAATCAGCTTCTCTCCATTCCTGGCCAATGGCACTTTCTTTTTAAAAATGTTTAAAACAAATCCAATTTTAAGATCCTATTGGATTGGGTGTGGATTCTTTGCTGTCCCAAAGTGTCGCCCTGACAATCTTGTCCTTGCAAGGGATGCTGTCAGCCTCAGGCAACTGCAGAGGGAACCAGCAGAAAGGAAGAGAGAGTGACACCTGGGGGGTCATGCAGGGGGTCATGCAGAAATGACTGGAAAAATGACCATTGGCTAACCACCACATTTTCAAATAGTTAATCACTTTTGCAGAATAATATTGGAAGTCCCTTTTTGTTGGGAGGGGACATTCTGTAGCATATGATTCTGCATTGATGCTCTCCTCCCCAGGGCTCCATCATTCATTATTGTGCGCATGTTCCTTCCATTGAACCAATGGTTCATCTTGTATGGTTGGTTGTGCACAACTTCTGCAGCCCAAAGAATTGTGTTCTCCAAGAAAAGCAAGCTAAAGTCCCCCAGTCCTAGAATTTGTCGTAGAGCATCACTCTCTGTCCTCTTGCATGTTAAGGAGCTGGGGTGGAGCAGCTTTGAGTGGGCTCCCCATTCATCTGTGATCTAGACACTTTCTCCATGGAATGGAATGCATTTTTTTCCTTTTGTTTGACAAATTGCACTTAAAATTATCTTCATTATCTGCATTTTAATACATTCCAGGTTACAGTTTTTTGAGAGTGCTGCTAAGTCCGTTGCCCTGAACCTCCAAAACTGTCCTCTGGGACACAAATCTTGGGCAACCGATTCACAGGCCAACTCCTGGCTTTTTCCCCCCTGTGGAAATGGCCCTCTGAGGTTCCAGGCAAGCATCCTTTTGGCTCCATACAATAAGAAGTCCTGAAATGTTTTCTGCCTCTTCTAAGTAGCTTCTGAGTTAAGGAATTTGGAACCACAGCAACCATGGATTAAGGATGTCTGCTGACCATGGTTGCATTTTAGGGTTGCTAAAGTGCCCCTGTGCATTCTTTGGTGCATTCTTTGCACCAAAATTCTTTTAAGTTGTGTTCTCTGTATTCTAAAATTCTGATCAGATCCTTTGTTTCTTAGATCATACCTGCAGAGTCCCTGCTAAGAGAAACCGCTGCCTTGGGTTGGTGCATCCTCGGAGCATGCACAGAAAGCCCCTTGGCCCTCCTGCCTGGAAGAGGCCACATGACTCCTTGGGGTCCTCTAGTCTGTTTGGCTATCCCTGAAGCCAAATGTGTCTGGCTGCCTCTGCACATTCCACTTGGACTTCCCCTTCTTTCTTACCTTTATTAGTTCATTTAGTTCCTTCAGTTAGTTCTACGCCTTCTTAGCATGGCACCCACAGCCTTGTGTTGGTGCTATGTTTCAGACTTATCATTGGAAGGAACAGGGCGTTGCTTTCTTTTTTGGATCCGCTCTTATGAAGGGGATGTGAATTTTAAAAACTGCTGTGCAATGACCTCATTTTTGTAAACATTGAGTAAGCTATTATTTAAAATAGCCTAGGTTTAGATCATTGTTTTTCCAGAGGCAGCTAAAATGCTCTGTAATGTAATAATTCCTATTTTCATTTTAGCAAATTCCCAATAGCAGTAAAAAAAATATGAATATGACCTCATTTGATTTCAGTTCTGCTGTGCTCTAGAATATTCTCAAATTTTTATGGAAGGTTTGTTTTTAATCTGTTATAAGTGTCTTAGTTCAACTGCTGTGTGTGCAGAGAAGAATCCAAGGGACGCATTTGTTGTATTTAAGTCCTGTTGAAACACAGATGAGCCATGATTTCATATTTCAAAGGGACTCAAATGCCATTCACCTCTCATGGATGGTCGGGGAAAATATATGAATAACAGGAAGGAAAATGGCTGAAATGTTTTGGCATTTCACTACTGGAAACAGTAGTGAAATATATGCGTGGGCTTCTGAAAATTGAGACTTATAAAACCCTAAATATATTTTTAGTGGTGATGCTGTTTTAGATTGCACGTTGTTTAATTTCTCCTTAAGTTAAATTAAATTTTGGATATTTCTGTCTCCTCTGCACACCCCAGGAGGGAATTTAAAGCATACATGTAAAAGTGACATGGATGGTGATTAAACTGTAGGCTTTTCTGCTCAGCCCATTGTTCCATTTTGGACTTCCTATGCTCTTCAAGGCTTGGCAGTTCATTCAGCATAGCTGTGGGGGAGGCGAGGAGAAGAGCCTGCAATGGAATCAACACAGCTAAGTGATTGCATCTTTATATAGGAAGATAATTAACCTGTAATAGAGTCAGGAACTTGAAACCATTATAAGGAAATTAGGTAAGTAATTTCCTTGGTAGTTTTTGCAAGCACAAAAAGACATTCTAAGAATCACAAGAACTTCAGAAGACGTTGGAAGTATGTTGAAATAATAATATTATATATTTTTATCTAGTGTTTGTTTGGGCACGAGAATGAATGAATGAATGAGTGAGTGAGGTGGTCTTGCACTCTGACCACCTTTAATGCTTTATCACTGGAAGGAAATTTGTTGTGGTTTCTGGTGTATGATCAACCAGACGGTCACCCATCCAGTTTGAATGACATAAAACTGGTCACCAGTACTTGACAATCGTTGAGCTGTGACTGTGTGCAGAGGAGGGGACTGCCCTTGGGGCAATGCTATGGGCCTCCATACTTCCAACATAGGGAGGGAGAATAGGGACAGCTCACACTGTGCACCATGTTGATCTGTTGTGTGAAAAACTCTTTGTCTCCCAATAATCCCTGTGCATGCACTGAACTGCAGTTTGAGTCCTCTGTCTCCAACCCACCCATCCCCACACCACCACCTGTCTCTTTCTCAGGTTGTTGAGACAAGAGACACAAATATCCTGGGAGCTTTTTAAAAGGACCCTTTAAGGGAAGGTAGAATCGGGTGCTCACCCACCCAAAGGGTGCTCCGACTCTGCTTATTTTCTTTTTTTATATCTTCTTATTTTTTAAAAGATTGTGTGCATGTGCAAAGCTGCTCTAAATCTTAAGCTGTTGCAAAAGCACTATTCTGACCATGTACCAAGTGGGTGTAAAAAGGAATCTTGTAGTTTTGGCAGGGATGCAACACACTGAGTTTGCTGCAGAGGTGAGTTTTGGAAATCGTAGTGTTACATTTCAAATTTACATTTCAAATTGCAGTGTTAAATTTGAACTGTCCTGTGTGTGGAATCTGTGAAATATGTCCTGTTTGCACCTGGTGCTAGAAAGAGTAAGATCACATCCTGCAAAGAACAGCACTTGAATTAGGATCTGGGCCATTGGTTGCTACCAAACTGCCTCATGAAAGGTTTTTATGGGGTGGGAGACTGGTGTGTTCTGCTCTCTCGACTGGCTCCTAGTGATGTGTTCAGTATCCGTGAGTGTACACAGTTTGCAATCTATATCCCCCCCCCCCGAGCAACACAATCTTGTTGGAGCCATTTTTGAAGGTATCTACCATCTTGGAGCTATGGTGTATTCATACTCTTCAATAAAAATGTAGGAAGACTGTGCTGTAGACACTAAGGACTTACAGTTGTTTTTAAACAGCAGAGGACCAGTTGACAGTAATATATTTTTAAAAAATATTGAAGGTATATTATTAACCTAATTAATATAATTTTGAGTAATGGGAGGAAATTAGTCTATATATATTGATAATATATGTATATCCAAAACATCTCCTGTGATTCATAATGGTTTCCCTTTCTGTGTTGCCTGCTGATACAATATTCCATGATGTAAATATTATATGGGCTAAGCATGGAGAATGGAGAATGTTAATACATTTGTTAAATCAATTTTTAATATTTTTGTGTTTTTGTTACTGTACCAGGTTACTTTTATCTAAGGGAGTATTTTAAAAAAAAAACAACACCTCAAGAATTCTGTTTTCTCTGAGAGGCATTTTTTGTTATTTATTAAGTCTGCACATTTCTTTCAACTTATTTAATTCCTTGTACAATTTCCTCTCCTTTTTGCCTGTGTGTTATTTAAGTGACAGTTACTTGAGTTGGAAACAGCATTATTACAGTTTTCACAAATTAATTCTAGTAATAATAAGTTTGCCATTTTGTCTCTAATAAAAGAAACAGAGAAAAACAGAGTTGTTTCATTTTGTTTTTCATACCTCCACTGGCCTTTTCCATGAAGACCCAAATGTTCAGTAAGACGAGAGAGTCTCAGGGACCTGCATTCCCCCGTCCCAAAATGGTGCAACACCCAAAGACACATGAGAGCATATTCACCAAAAAACACGGAACGAATGACACAATGCCGTTAGGGTTAGGGCCAGGGCTAGGACTAGAGGGTTAGGGGGTTAGGATTAGGATTATGTGAGCCTTATGTGAGGATTATGTGGGTTAGGGCACCTACCTGCTGCTCCTACCTACCGGCAGTCTACAAATTCACGGAGTTGTACGGCAGCTGTCGCCATGAAACCAACCCTTTATGAAGGTTTCCCCATGGTGGCTGGGGAAACTCTGCCAGATATAAATAATAAATGATAAATAAATTTATTATTATTATTATTATTATTATTTTATTATTATTATTATTATTATTATTATTATTTAGTGGATGTTTTCCGGACACCTTTGGCAGGCTTCATGACTACCCCGGGCAGTCTACGCCTCTCCCAGCACCCGGTAGACCGAGCAGCTCCAGCCTCCGCAGCAAGTAGGCCGGAGAGCACTCGTCTCCCCATCCCATGTGACTGGGTAGACCTGGAGGTGCCGGTAGACTGGAAGGGGTCCTCCAAAGGGGACCAGGAAGCCCGAACCTCGCCAGTGAGTAGACCGGGCAGTCATTCCAGTCCCCACTGCTAGGTAGTTCCGGCTGGTAGATCAGGGTCACAATGGGGCTAGACCTGGTAATGCTGCCAACTCCTCCACCAGGTAGACCGGCGTCTCCCGGCACTGCAGTAGGTAGACCAGGTAGTTGAGTAGACCAGACAATGCTTCCCAGTCCCTTCCCCCCAGGTCCCTTCCCCTCAGGTAGACTGGCTTTTGTTTTGTTCCTGTTTCTATCGTAATAAATGAAAATCTGCCCTTATTCCCTTATACACAAGAGTTCTTATAGAGTCCTTTGCAGGTTCTCCATCAATTGGAGAAAGGAAGAGAAGGCCAACCAGAGAATATACAAAGCTGCTAGTAAGCCTGATCTTTATTGAACTGTTGCAACAGGGTGCCCCCTTCACACGCAGGAGGAGAGGACCCAGAACCTAGGTGTGCCCGCCCTTATATTGACATTTTAAATTGCCCGCCCTGGAGTCCAAGACCACCCCCCAGAAACACCTACACCACAGAAAGGGGTTGTCTACAACAGAAATCTGAGTGCGGTGTTTACCAGAAATCTGAGTTGTTAGCTGTTAATGCTATACAATAATGCTATACAAGTAAATAACTTTTGAATGTTTTTAAATAGCTCTTTTTTAACTTTTTGTTGATCATTTTATCGATATCCGCTCTGAGGGTTTTTCTCATAGTCGAACAGTATATAAATGCTATGAAATGCACAAGAAATAAAGACGTTCTTATCTGATCACAATTGCATCCACACACCTATTTCCTCTGCTTAAATTGTGTTCTGTCTTTAATTTGGGAAGTGGGGCAATGAAACGGGAGCTGTTCAGCAGCAGAAAAATCCCTATTTCAGCAGCAGCACTCTGCCTGCTGCCAATCCCATATTTGCGGCCATGACGGTTAGGCACTTGCTTTTTGCAAAAGCAAGTGTAATAAAAATTAGGGTGTATATATATATATATATATTATATGCAGGTTTTGGTGTCCTCGGGTGTCTTCCCGTGTAAAAGTTGGGGTGTCTAGGCGACGTTTCCGACGAGGTCTCACTCGTCATCTTCAGGCTGGTGCTTTCGGCTTCTTGTTACTGGAATATATATAAAATAGGTAAAGGTAAATGTACCCCTGCCCGTACGGGCCAGTCTTGACAGACTCTAGGGTTGGGCGCCCATCTCAAGAGGCCCAGGGGCCAGCGCTGTCCGGAGACACTTCCAGGTCACGTGGCCAGCGTGACAAGCTGCATCTGGCGAGCCAGCGCAGCACACGGAAACGCTGTTTACCTTCCCGCTAGTAAGCCGGTCCCTATTTATCTACTTGCACCCGGGGAGTGCTTTCGAACTGCTAGCTTGGCAGGCGCTGGGACCGAACAACGGGAGCGCACCCCGCCGCGGGGATTCGAACCGCTGACCTTTCGATCAGCAAGCCCTAGGCGCTGAGGCTTTTACCCACAGCGCCACCAGCGTCCCTATATATAATAAATGTTCATAAATGTACCAATGTCTGGAGCAGCACAGGAAAAACCTTCCTGAAACCATTTTGACTCCTTAAAACCATTTTGACACCCAAACTGACCAAATGTTTTTCTCTTGCCTGTCTACACCTTGCCCAGTGCCCCCCATGCTGGCTGACTTGGAGGACACTGGACCGATGAAGGAGATACTGCCGGCACCTCCGCCCCCTTTGTCCATGGGAGTCCCCCTCTCCGCCCCCACTTGCTGCCCCACCAAAAGTTTCTGTGACCTTATACACGAGTACCCATCGACTCCCAGCTTCCCAAACTGCATGGTTTGAGTTTTCCTTGCCCTGCATCCAAAGCTCAGCCTCGCCCAGCCTTTTCTTTCTCCCCAAAGATAACGGGGCAGCTGGAGAAACCTCACTTGGACTCGCGGAGCCTGGTGTTTGAGCTGGACCCATGCAGAGGGAATGGGAAGGTCTGCCTTGTGTACAAGAACACCATGTATGTTGAACACCAAGAACACCAGAAGCCCAAATGCTGCCTGCAGTAATCAACCCCGTCTGCAAACCCCAGGTAGCTTTTGCCTTTGTGGGAGATGTTTTGGACTACTGTTCCTAGCACCATACAGTTGTACTGGCTGAGACTGATGGGCTTTGTAGTCCAAAACATCTGGAGGGCACCAGGTTGACGAAGGCTGACATCTATCATGGCCTGTGATGAGGTCTTCCTGAAGCAAGCTATGCCTGGCTTTCATCTTTCCCTATTATTATTATTAAGGGACGCGGGTGGTGCTGTGGGTAAAAGCCTCAGCGCCTAGGGCTTGCCGATCGAAAGGTTGGCGGTTTGAATCCCCGCAGTGGGGTGCGCTCCCGTTGCTCGGTCCCAGCGCCTGCCAACCTAGCACTTCGAAAGCACGGCGTTTCCGTGTGCTGCGCTGGCTCACCAGTTGCAGCTTTGTCACCGGACAGCGCTGGCCCCTGGCCTCTTAAGTGAGATGGGTGCGCAACCCTAGAGTCTGTGAAGACTGGCCCGTACGGGCAGGGGTACCTTTACATTATTATTATTATTATTATTATTATTATTATTATTATTATTATTATAAAAATTTGCATACCTTTTGTCAGAGCTGCCCCTGGTCCCAGCTCACAAAGGACCAACGCCAGTTCCTCTTTATATACAGAAGTCTTTATTGAAGTTCATTGTTGGGTTGACAGCCGTGGCGCGCAGCCCTACGTCTGAAACCCTAGACCGTCGAAGCTCCGTCTGAGTCTCCTCCCCCCAGACACCAGTTTAAGACCCTAGCCTTGCTCCACCTCTTCCTCTGCTCCCTTTTCCTCTGGGTCCGCCTGTCCGCCGGGGTTTTCCCCTTTCTGGACTCTTCTGACGCTGACTCCCCCGAGTCTTCCCCCTCCCTCCGGCGGGCTTTAGGACCTGGTTCCCAATCCGGGCTTTCTGCTGTCCCGCGCGCCTGTACATTTTGAACTTGGAGCGCGCGCCCCAGCCTGCCACCTTCCTTCTGACCGTTATACTGCTCCTGTCGCTGCTTGCCGGAGGAGACGCTGACTCTGACCTATGAGACTCTTCCCCCCCACTACGCTCCGGTGGGGAAGCTGGCCCTGATTTCCAGCTACTGCTCTGGGAGTCTCCGCTGGCCCCCTGCTTCTGGTGTGTCCCCCCTGGGACCCCCCTTGCCCTGGCCATCGGCGCCCCCTTCTGGGAATCTTCTGATTCACTGGAGAGGCTCATGGAATCTCTCGGGTCACTGTCATTCTGCCCTCCGCTGCCCTCAGATTCTTCCCCTTCGCTCTCCATTTCCTCTCTCCCCTGCGCCTCTGCTCCTGAGCCCCTGACACCTTTCTTCATCCACAAATCTCAGGGCAGTTTACCACCTAAAACTGCAATATAAAAAACACAAAATGCATAATAAAAATAAGAAAAAACAAGCAAACCAGCTGATTACGCAGGGATCTCCAAGAGAACAGATGGCATAAAAAGGAAAGAACGAAATTAAGTCCGTTCAGACTTAATTCCAGAGCCAGTTGATGTTTCTTGAATGCTGGGAAGATTCAGCACATTTGAACTCTGATCAAACGTGTGTATCGTACAATGAGTTATACAGATATAATAGTGTAGCAATTTGCTGCTGGTGTTTCTGTATATAATGATCTTGTTTTACAAAACAAAGTTAAATAGGAATCTCTAAATGACACCAATAAAACACTTACAAAATTGATAGCACAACGGCAGGGGGAGGAATTGTGTGAGGATAACCTGGAGGATACTATCGCTGGAAGATGAGCCCCTCAGGTCGGAAGGCGTCTGTCAGGGGCTCAGGAGCAGAGGCACAGGAAAGGGAGGAAATAGAGAGCGAGGGGGAGGAATCCGAAGGAAATGTTAGCGATGACAGCGGCCCGAGGTCTCTAAGTCTTTCCAGCAAATCAGAAGATTCACAGAAAGGGGCTCCCATGGTCAGAGCAAGGGGGGTGCCTAGGGGGACACCCCAGGAAGAAGGGGCCAGAGGGGACTCAGAGAGCAGCAGTTGGAAATCAGGACCAGCTTCCCCACCAGAGCGCAGTAGGGGGGAGGAGTCCCAGGTATCGGGATCAGGCGGCTCACCGCCAGCGGGAGGAGATGAGTCAGGATTGCTCTGGTTGCTGACTGAGCCCTGGCGCCTCCAATCTCCATTGGTTCCTCTCCCCCTCCCTGCGGAGGTGTGGATTGCGCACGCGCTGCATCCTTGGGAAAGAGGGGAGGTGCTCTCGCTGGCGTGCGTCCCCAACGCCCTTCTTCTTTGCTCCATGGACGTTCTTCCAGACGCACCCCAATCGTCAGCGCCCTCTGGACAACT